AGAGAGAGAGAGAGAGAGAGAGAGAGAGAGAGAGAGAGAGAGAGAGATGGCTAGGGATTGCCCCCTTAAGAAGCCTGGGATCGCCCCCTTAAGACGCCCTCATCAAACCTGCTACTGCTTGCAACTGATGCCTGTGAGGAAAGGGGAAATCCGTCTTTTCCAGTGGAGCAACAGTAGATACATCAACCCCGCTGCAGGGCAGGCTCCAGGTCCCGGGCAGTGGCCACCACTAACCCAGATCCACCTCTGCAGTCCGTTTTCTTGTGAGCTGTTTGTCTCATTTTGTTACATTCGGATATTTTTGTCTTCTTGTGGGGTTTTTTTTGTGTGTTTTTGTGTGTGTATGTTTTTATTGTTTGTTTTGAGAGAGAGAAAGAGAGACAGAGAGAGAGAGATATCATGGACTTGGGTAGGTAGAGAGGTGAGGGAGATCTGGGAGGAGATGAGGGAAAAGAAAGAATATGAAAAATATATTATATGAAAAAAATTCAATGAAAAAAGGGAAGGCCCAGCCTTTGGCCCCACAGGCCCGAGTCCTCTCCCTTAGCACGTAACAAATGTCAGTCTCCCAAGCTCACAGGCCCAGCCCCTCCCGAGCATATCTCAGTGTCACCTAACGGCTGAACCCACCAACAGATAAGCCCACATACAGGGGGGTACTCAGTCACCCTCCTACACAGAGACACATACACACAGAGCAGGACTTGGGAGAATTGGTTGTTCCTGTTTCTATTGCTGTGTGACCTTGAGGAAATAAACTACCCTCTCTGGGATTCAATTTAGTACTTGTAAAAACAAACTATTTGGATTGCACTGGAGTTCATAAAATACCTTCATCCTGCCCCTAGATTTTTCTTAGGCTTTAAGCCTTTCTCCCTTCTCCACTAGACCCTGAGGCCAGGCTAGAGCTGATTAAGTTGTTAATTACCAGGTTGTTTTCATATTCTTAAGAACATATCTCCTGGCCACTACTTTCTTTCCCGAAGTCCCCTGGACATATACGTGCTACCTGTGGGCCTATCTGAGGTCAATAGCAAGTCTACACTTAACAATCATCCATTTCATGAAGGCAAGGGGAATCCGTTTCCAGCAGAAACAGGAGTGCCTGGGTCCAGCCACCCACATGCTCACAATTACAAGATTGCATTAACCCTTCAAGGAACCAACTCACCTTGTCTCAGAGCAGACACAAAGCCATCCAGAGCCCCCAGAGCACCCCACACTCCCAGAAGACCAGGGAGCCTTGCAGAAGACAGTCAAGGCAATTGAAGTCAGGAAACCCAGTATCACCCTGTGGTCAGCCACCACCTGGCTGCACCTTCCCAGAGAGGGGCAGGTAATGGATGATCTGAACCAGGGGCTTTGCCAAGGCAAAGGGAGTTGTCTGTACTGGGTGCCCAAGAGTGGTCTAGGGAGAACACCGAGAGCTGCGTCTTGATAGACCCCTGGACTATCCAAGCACATCAAGGTCCCCCTACCTAGAGTGACATCGTCACAGGTGTCCATGCCCCAGGTAAGGAAGGAGCCCACCAGGCTGCCTAGAAGGAGCAGTTGTCCCTGGGCCCTGAGTGCAGGCCTCGGGAGTCCAAAGGATGCTGGCCTGTGACATCCAGGGCCCTATATGCAAACAAAACAAAACACTTTTAAACCTCTGTGGGATCCACTGGAGCTAAAGCCTGGCTGAGGTGAGGAGATCGGTGCCAGGCCCAGGATGTCCTCCTGTCTTTCCTGACCTTTGTCCTCTCTCAGAAATGCCCAAGATCCTGAATCCCAAGGCCATGTGACTCTGGAGATGAGATCTTTATGAGGAGTCTCAACGGAGCCCAATCAACCTGTCACCCTTGTCACTTGGACATGACACCTTCAAGCCTTGGGGAAGGTAAAATTCTATCACTCTTTTCCAGTATTTTCTATTTTCTTCCAAAGCCCTTTGCACAGCTGCCTGGAGCCTGTGGTGGATGCTGGTCCTCAGGTTAAACTTGGGGTCTGGGCAGGGTTGCCCTCAACACTGGCTGCTTTCAATTTAGGCCTGTCTGCAGCTGCATGAAGACCTTGCTGCTTGTTCTCACCTGACTGAACAAGCCACACCTCTCCCTCTCGGCCACCTTGACAGTCTGTTTCCCTCAGCTCATTCACTCTGAACCTCTTCCCCATATCTCTCGAGCCTTTGGGTCAGCCAGCAGCTTCACTTCCCCTTGGATGGGGGCTGGGGGTGGGGCTCACTGCAGGCTCTGAAATCCCACAATGCTTTATGCATTTCTTCTTGAAACAGGGTGACGGGCGGAGTCTGGGAATGGCCAGACCAGCTTAGTGGCAGTGTTGAGGCTCCCAGTGTCACTCCTGAGAACACCTCCCGCCAGATGCTGTCTGGGTACAGGCACTGCACCAGCTTCCTTTTGTTGAGCAACAAAACCCAGCTCAGGAACTGAGAAACCTTCCTTCTGCCTGGAAGCCAGCCTGCCACAGGCCCTACCTGGCCCCAGAAGGCAGGGGAGTGCCTGGTAACATCTGGCCCAACAGGTTGAATGAGGCTCAGCCAGCCCTGACCCAGCCCTGTCTCCCTGCTTAGCACTTCAAGCCAGTTGGGTCCTCTGTTCCAGAATTTTCCTCAGTGACTACTATGGGAAGGACTGAACCACATGGTGGTGACAGCACCCAGGAAGGCCTGTAAGGTAAGGTGCTTCTTCCAAGCCAATAGGGAAGATTCTATTCCACAGAGACAACACCCCATCCTTCAGCCAGAGAGATGGGGAAGAGGCTTAAGAGACTGGCCAGACTACCATCGTCCCTGAAAGACTCAGGACTACACTTCCAGGGCTTTGGAAGCCCCAAGAATTGCCTCTCATCAGAGGATGCACTGTCTGTGGACAGTCTAAGCAAATAAGAAGCATCTGTCTAGATTCTCAATCATGACTGAAGCTTTCAATCACCTAATGTCTGATTAAAATTACAGGCTGAGCTGGGCAGTGGTGGCACACGCCTTTAATCCCAGCACTTGGGAGGCAGAGGCAGGTGGATTTCTAAGTTTGAGGCCAGCCTGGTCTACAGAGTGAGTTCCAGGACAGCCAGGACTACACAGAGAAACCCTGTCTCGAAAAACCAAAAATAAATAAATAAATAAATAAAATTACAGGCTGAGACACCACCACACAAGCCTGCCCCCACTGATTTATTCTAGTAAGCAACCTACAAGGATGTGCCTGTTGTTTTAAGTCCAAAGTGATTTTTGATGTCAGATAGGACTAAGCCCCTGGGCTATGGTTCCAGTTCAGCCTATAGCAAGAGCTTTGCTCACTCTCTCACTGTAGGCTGTACCTTACTTTACTCAAAGCGCTCCTTTCTAAACAGACAATTTGGACTTGCCCAAGAGCACAGACTATGTAAGATGCTATAGTCGTGCTACTGTATGGCTTGTGAATGGGACTGTCCTCCTGGAAGTCAGAATGTCCACAGCCTGAGGCAGCTTCATTCCTTTATGTCCTGGGAGAGTCACAGAAAGGAAACTATTAGCTATCACCTAGCTTACCACAGTACACTCATCAGCAAGCCCCAGTTAGGTCTGCATGTTCAATCCCTCGGTTCCCAAAGATCTACAGAGCAGGGTCTCCCAGGCACCTGCTCCCAAAGGAGGTAGCCACAGTGGCTAACAGACAAGCAGCCATGTCCCATGTGACAGCCATGAGTCATACACACACACACACACACACACACCACACACCACACACCACACACCACACACCACACACCACACACCACACACCACACACACACACACCACACACCACACACCACACAAGACACCACACACCACACAAGACACCACACATCACATACACACACACATACACACACACCCACCACACACCACACCACACATCACACACACTCACACACACACACACCACACACCACACATCACACATACACACACACCACACACCACATATCACACATACTCACATACTCACACACACACACACCACACACCACACACCACACCACACATCACAGCACATATCACACACACATACACACACACCACACACCACACCACACATCACACATACACATACACACACACACACCACACCACATACCACACATCACACATACACACACACACACACACACTGACACAGGAAGATCACTCAGATTCTAAGACAGAGCTCTGGACTTGAGACTCAGATGCCACTCAACCCCTGTCCCCTGGGTAGAATTCACTAAGGTCTCATTTGTACACAGCATTCTTCTGGCCATGAAGGTTTTACTCCCTTTGCCTGCTGGGTCATCCAATCTCAACCTAAAGAGCTCAACAGCCAGAAGATTCCAGTACACAGGATTTTATTCTCACTTCCCAATGCCTCACATTGTCCTGAATGGGTGATTCCTTATTCTCAGCCTCAGTTTCCCAGTGCAAATAAATAACTGTTGTCTGTACCTTCCCTTAAAGCTGTGGCCACAGGGGTTCCATGGTGACCCACGCTACAGGAAAGAAGCCATAGGACAGGAGAGACTCAGGTTTCAAGTGGAATGGAAACAAACTTAGCATTGGCTCAGGAGTATGTCAGCCCAAGAACAAAGTGGGACCGCCCCTGGGCCTCTTACAGGCACAGGAACCAGGGCCAGGGACACGCATACCTTGTTCCCCAGGGAGCTACTGTCCTAAAGAGAACAGCAAACAGTTTGGGCAGTGGGCAGAGAGGAACTGGGTGGGGGGGGTGGCGGGGAGTGGAAAGAGGGGAGACAAATGCTCACTCACACCATCCCGAAAGTTACAATGGAGAGAGCCCTCCCTCCCTTCAGAGCCAACTGGTGACGTGTGTGCACATGGAGGAGACAGATGGATAACTCAAACTAGGTTTTACTCCATATTTCCCTTTTATTTTTCCTTTCTGAAATACTTAAGAGGGTCTTAGTATGTAGTCCAGGCTAGCCTAGAACTCAAGATCTTCTATCTCAGCCTCTGGAGTGTTGAGATCACAGATATGTGTCACCATACCTACCTCAGATGTCCCTTTGGCCTCCTCCAGGGCTCACTATTGTTTCTATATGAGCACACATTGTCACCAAGGCGGGAGGAACAACACTTTCTGTAAGAGCAGGAGAAGCACGTGGACACTCACTGCCACCCTGACTGGGACAAGTACTTATGCCCTGTCACACTGGTCAGAATAAGCATTCACTGTCATGCCAGGAGGGACTGAGGGACACTCACAGTATCTGGGCAGGTAGGCACTGAGAGGGATCACACAGTTGTCTGAGAAGTCAACTGAGGGAAACCAACCTTGCTTGGCCTGACTCAGAATGTCAACTGGTTCAGGCATGAAGAGACAAATGCACCTGTCAGTCTGGGGACCCGGAAGCCTAGCCTAGGAAGGCAGTGGTGACCATGGTACAGATTCTGGAATGGGCCCCTGGAAGGACTTACTTAGAAAGCAATAGTTTTGACCAAATCTAAGAATGGAAGTTTCTAGACCCTGCACTGGAACACTAATACAAACACAAAAAATAAAAATCAGAATCAAGATCTACTTGCTAGTCTAGCCAGGGTGTAGACTGGATTGTTCTTTCTCCCTGGTAACAAGGAGCAGCCATGCACCTCAAAGCCCTCAGCCACCTCTACTTCCATGAGGCAGCCCAGCCATAGACCTACAGGGAAACCCCTGCTGTCCTTAGGTGCCCCAATGACTCTAATCTCCAAGCTGTCACTAGAGATCTGCAGCTCAAGCCAGTCCACCATGTCCCAGAAACTAGGACACGAAGGTATGTGAGATCACACGAGGCCCCTGAGCACGCCGTGACTGGAAGCACCTAAATGACAGCCTCTAAAGCCCAGCTTCTGCTGCTTCCAAAGAGATAACCCCTGGCAAGCCTCAGTACCTATTCAATAAACAGAGATAATCACTTAATGCAAGGTCTGACCCCTAGTTAGTGATCAGTGCGCCTGGGCATTAATACAGCTGCAGTTAGCAAAGGCCGGACGGGGAGATGGCTCAGTCAGTACGAAGCTTGCTTTGAAAGCAGGAAGACACCAGTTCCAATACCCAGAAGCCACATAAAAACCCCTGGGTGTGGTAGCACACATCTGTAATCCGAGAGCTGGGGAGGCAGAAGGAGAAGGTACCCGAGGCTGGCAACTGTTCTCGACCTTCCTAACGCTGCAACCCTTTAATGCAGTTCCTCATGTTATGGTGACCTCCCAACCATACAATTACTTCCTTGCTGCTTCATAACTGTCATCGTGCTACTGTTGTAGCAAACTGTAGTGGAAATATCTGATATACAGGATATCTGATAGGGGACCCCAAAGGGGCCATGACCCACAGGTTGAGAACCACAGGTCCAAGCAAATAGATCAACCCAGCTTCAGTGAGAGACCTTGTCAAAAAACAACAGGGCCAGTGACTGAGGAAGACATCCAATGTCAGCTGTGGAGCTGGGGACAGGGGTGAGGTACAGATGGGAGAGTGTGAAGCTGATGCAATGAGCCAACAATTCCTTGACTG